AGATCAAACCAAGTTTGGGAATTGGTTGACCTTCCAAAATGACGCAAAGCCATTGGGAACAAGTGGGTTCTCAAAATAAAGCGTAAGGCTGATGGCTCAATAGAGAGGTATAAGGCTCGCCTTGTGGCGAAAGGATATAATTAACAGGAAGGAGTTGACTTTGAAGAAACTTTTTCTCCTGTGGTTAGATTTACCTCTATTCGCCTTATTTTGGCAATAGTAGCTAGTATGGATCTGGAATTACATCAAATGGATGTAAAGACTGCATTCCTCAATGGAGAATTAGAGGAAGAAATTTACATGGAACAACCTGTTGGTTTCATTACAAAAGGCCAGGAACACAAAGTATGTCGACTATTGAGGTCAATATATGGCCTTAAGCAGTCTTCGAGACAATGGTATATACGTTTTCACAATGCCATAATGGCATATGATTTTGTAATGATTAGTGAAGACAATTGTGTATATATCAAAAGATCCAAAGATCAATTTATGATCTTATCATTATATGTTTATGATATACTAATTGTCGGAAGCAGTATGGAGTTTGTTAATACAGTCAAGAATTGGTTATCTTCCAATTTTGAGATGAAAGATATGGGTGAAGCTGCATACATTCTTGGAGTTAAGATTTCAAGAGATCGCTCAAAGAAATCCTTATCCCTTTCACGAGAGACGTATGTGAATAAAATCCTTGAGCGATTTTGTATGCAAGACTGTAAACCAATAGATACTCCTATTGCAAAGGGCGAAGCATTAAGCGACAGAATGTGTCCTAAGACTTCACAAGAAAAGGAGCAAATGGAACAAGTTCCATATGCCAGTGCTGTCGGAAGCTTGATGTATGCTATGATGTGTACAAGACCTGATATTTGTTATGCAGTTGGAATGGTAAGTAGATACCAATCCAATCCAGGTCAAGCACATTGGATCGCCGTCAAAAGAATCCTAAGATATCTAAAGGGAAGTGCCGACTATGCGCTGACTTATCAAGGAAGTGATCTACACCTTGAAGGCTATACTGATGCTGACTGGGGAGGAGATTTAAAAGAAAGGAAATCTACTTCTGGATACGTGTTCTTACCGAATAATGGCGCCATATCTTGGAGCAAAAAGAAACAACAAGTGTGTAGCCTTATCTACAATGGAAGCCGAGTTCGTGGCTCTATCGCAGCGGCACAAGAAGCTGTTTGGCTTAGAAGATTTTTGGATCACTTAGGTGTTCCTGAGAATGCTGCAAACCCAGTATTGGTCTATTGTGACAGCCAAGCAGCAATAGCGTACACTAAGGATCCCAAGTACCATGGAAAGACCAAACATATAGATATCAAGTATAACTATGTCAAGGACATGGTTGCACGAAAGGAAGTGAACGTGAAGTACATATCTACACAAATGATGATAGCAGATCCTATGACGAAGCCGATTCCTAGAGAAGTTTTCCATGGTCATGTGAGATCTCTAGGACTGTGTAGAATATGATGTACTGAATATTGTAATTTTTCCCAGAATGTTCACTATTAATGAAGTTTGTTATTATCAATGCCTATAAGTTTGTATGACGTTTGTGAATGTCGATGCTGAGTGCATTATATTGAAATGATATGTCGGACAGATGAGAGATTAGCCCACTCACACGGGTAATCGCCTCTACTCACTGTGTGATGAATAGAGATGAGACAGTTTTAAGCTTGTTATCTAAGTGATAATTGAGAGCTCAAGCTTGAAGCATAGACGTCGCCTTAACAGAATGTTAAGATGAAGACATATATATTATTATGTCTGAAAGTGAAATGACCTACATATTTCACTTTACTTGTCTTTAATGCCAGATGTGAGTTCTGATAGATGCTTATGAATAGAGTAGATTTGTGAACTCAAGTTAGACATTGAGGATGTCTAAACTATCATCTGTACGGTATTGAGAGTAAAGACATACACTCTATGGGAAAAGGAGAGAATACCGTAATACGTATTTCATATTACGTATGCATGGGACGACCGATAAGAGTTGGCAAAAATTTATGATCTCAATTTTTAAGTCGTGTGAGACTCTTGAGGAAAATAGTTCTTCTCAATTAAAGTGCCCTCACGACTCTTACTTATTCTCAAAATTTCTATTCAGTGTTTGCTACCTTAGGATGTTGCCGATGATCATGATAATTCGGTCTAACGGGGCATTTCTAAAAAAGCGAGTTGGACTGAAATGGAAAGGTTTAAGGAAAGAGGAAGATTAACTTAATTTATGATGTCATATTCTATATTTGTATTCACAGGTCAACCAATTATGATTTTGAGTAAATCATAGTTGTGAATACAATATACGAGATACTAAAAGAGATCAAGAGAGATGAAAATTGTGACTGATTGATCTAGGGAACTGCATACTAATTCTACTCTGGATAATGCCCAATTTGAACTGTTATATATTCCTAACAGATGTATAACAACGAGCTCTCGTAGTATGCTGGTCGCACGGATTATTTGCCAATATGAACTTTGCAAGGAAGAGAGTTGTGTTTAACCCATCGTGGGCGACTGGGATATGTAAGACATATTGGGTGGACCGCCCAAGATGGGCCAAACCCGGCCCGTGAGCCACAAGGGCCCATGAGGTAGTTATTTGTCTATCTATAATAGAAGGCACCCCTTGGAAAACAGACGTGATTTTCAACATATGCAAACACACTCTTTTGATACAACGTATTCTCTGCTTTTGCTTCGGAACGCACGCGAGTACAAAAGACATTCAAAGAACTCTCAAGCGCAAAGTGGCACTTAATCTGTGACAATACCGGGTATGTTCGTTGTGAGATATACCTGTACGATCGGTGATACAAGTTGATGGTCCTCGGGCACGTTTTCCGCATTAATCGAATTCGTTCCAAATATGTTTCGAATGCGTCGATCGGGAATTCAGTTTTCCCAACACTCCGCGCCCGGCTTGATCTCAAGCAAGCGCGCTCTCTCTCTCTTTGGATTGGACCTTTTATTGAAAGTTTTAACCACCTCAGCGTCGATTGTATCAGGTAAGTGTCAATAAATTAGCTCTTTGATGAATGTTGCGTACTAAATTTGCAAGCGGTGACTACCAAATTAGAATGATCGATTTAATCAATTATTTTTCTTTTTTTTTCTTTTTTTTTGGGGGATTTTTCCTTGGACGGAAAAGAGAGAGGCGGTGCAGAAAAAGATGGAAGTCCTCAGAGGCCACAATCGAACTTTGCAAGGGAACACGACACAAAAGCTGGTCACAATCACCACACGCAAAAGCAACCTTTCCGGTCCAAATGCCACGGGAGAGAGAAATTGACGCGCAATGCAAATGTTTTGTCTAATCTCTCATAAAGCATCACATTTCCAGAAACAGACCCTCCTTCCAGGAAAAATCAGGGGTATCAATTGAATTTGGAAAACCAGGAGTATTGGGTCCGCTTATTTCACTAGAAACTTAATTTCAGATAAAAATAAACTACATTTTGGCATTTGTTTGTGCCGAAAACAAAGTTGGAAAAAAATTGGTTTTATGTCACTCGATGATAAGTGAATTGACTAAACGGTAACTTGTATAGTTAAAGATGATATGTAATGACTAGCTGGAACCGATATCTTGTTTGTTTAGTTTGTAATCCCATCGAAATAAAAGCAATTACGAAAGAATTAAGAAAGAGACCATGAAATCGTATCCGTGAAATGTTATTTATGATCGCGCTTTTGGGAATGTAGAAGAATATGAGCATTAATGAAGAAGAATATCCAGGAGATGGTGGACGAGATTTTATTGAGAAAGCGGATGGGACTTATCGATAGAAAAAAAGAAACGGAAAAAAATTGACGAGCAATTGAGAACCAAGAAGACGGGAAAATACGAAATCTGGAAAATGATTTCCATCTTGCCAGAAGAAAAAGCCGTTTTTTTTTTTCCGATCTAAGCTTGTCGTGTCAAGTTTATAGAGAATGCTTTTCGGTCGATCAAGTACCTCTCCGTCATCCAAGCCCTCGAAAGTCCGAAAACAATTTCCCGAAAACGATATCATCAAACAAGCAAAACCCTAATAACCATAGAAGAGAGATCTAGAATCATGGGGTCAATTGGGATTTTTTTTTTTTGTATTTCTTGTGCCCAAAGGGATAGAGAGAGAGACTTTGAGCATTTGTGGCCCCATTTGGAAGCCTTTAGCTTCACACAAGAAAACTCAAACCTGATATTCTCGATACGTTTTTCTTCCGAAAGCAAAGGACTGGACCCAACTAATTCCCCCTAATCACACACAACATGACAATCTCCTTTTATTGATAAGGGACGACGACAAAGCAAAGAATGTACATGGAATGGAATGATGGATAAGTCAAATTTGCAAGTGCCCCGTGGGTGCTTTGACATTCCCCCTAATGGCTTGTTCCCTAAGGTAATCATTAGTTTATTATGAGCTGCGATTGGCATGAAATTACGTGATCTTGGATTGCTGGATGCTTGACTAATTTCGTTTCGAGGAACTCCTCAGCTGGACAAGAAATCGTAGTTTAATCTTCGTCGGGACGATTGGAGATGTGATAAACTAATCAAGAGCACCGTGTGCATGCCAGAGAGTTGATTTTAGGATTTGAATATGGAATAAATTAAAAGCACGGAAAGATCTTCTTTTGATTAATAACTCTCTTTTGACTAGCCTTATATCCCATGCCACCCCTGAAATTACAGTCCGAACTCGAGCAGCCGCCGAGCCGGGTGCACAAAAATTCGAATTGGAACCGAACCCGGCATCGTCCCGAAGACGGACTATTACAGTCGAAGAAGTCCGCACCCTTGCCTCCTCGGTATTGGAACCCGGGCGGCCCAGGATCCGCGCGACAAATAACGGTAACTTAGGCGGTGCATTGCATATGCAAAATTGAGTCATGGAATTAGGAATGGACCGCGTGACTTGTTTGATGCCAAAGCATAGTAGTCTCCTCTTCGTGTGAACTTAAACCAATTTTGGTTCATCAGTTTGGTGCACATAAAGCTCCCATTGAGAACCAACCACGTTTCCTTCTTGGCTTTCCGGGACTCCTCCTTTCCATGAAAATGTAACCCACGAAAGCAAAACATCGCCGCCCACATCCAACCCCACCCAAGCTTTATCTCCCACACAAAAGTGAAAAGGTGACAGCAACTGTTGATGAATCTAACGTGAGACATTCTAGTACTCTTTTGGTAATGTACCAGGAAGTCATTGTGTGGACTCAACCCAATGACCTATGACAAGTTCTGAGCTCAGAAGCACAAGTTCCGCGCAGCTTCTACGTCGCGACCGGCTCCGGCCGCGTATCGTCCGTAAAACGCGTCTATCGAATGTTCATAGACCGTCGTCGGACGTGGAAATGAAAGGGGATAAGGGTGGAGGGAAGATTGTCGGCCAAGTAGAGGAAGTGATAAGTAACAGAGAGACTTAGCTTCCTGGGAAAAGCGACGGAAACGCAAGAAACTTAACGTCACTCTTTTCCTCCACGCCACAAACGTGCCTCCTAAGCTCATTCTCTCAATCTCCTGGCTTTATAAAAGCTCCAATGCACTTCCCCCCTTCCCCATTCAAAAAGCCCCGAACCGGCATCGACTTCGCGAAAACCGAACTCGGTATCGGCATTCGCAGACTGGATTAGTCGATCGATCAACTGAGCATTTCGTTTCCAGGCCGCAACGTTGAGAAGCTGGTCATATGGATCAGCGCGATTCGCTAGAGAGCGAAGGCAGCGTCAAGTTGCAGATTTCCGAGTTTTGCAGGCTCGGTGATGCTTGCAGCTCGAGCACCACCATCTTTGAGCCGCGGAACAGCATCGAGAAGAGAGACAGCAGCAATGCAGGATCTGTTTCTTCGGCGAGGCCGGCGTTCCACGCGCCGGAAAAGAAACTCACACTGTTTGCCCTTCGCCTTGCGGTGTTCGAGAAGGCCGCGACTGACCTAGGGACGCTTGGGTTCATCTGGGCGACCGTGGTCCTCCTCGGCGGGTTCGCCATCACTCTGGATAAAACCGACTTCTGGTTCATCACCATCATACTGCTGATTGAGGGGACGCGGATCTTCAGCCGCAGCCACGAGCTCGAGTGGCAACACCAGGCGACTTGGTCGATCGCTGACGCGGGCATCAACAGCTTCCGCGCGCTCAAATCGAGCTCGCACTTCCTGATCAAGAGCTTCAAAACTGCTTTTCGTCCCATTTCGTCCGCGGTTCAGAAGAGAAGGCAGCAGCAGAGCAGGGGCATAGCGGCACAATTTGCAGGCTCGCCAAACACGAACGGCATCCATCGTAAACCGACTCGGATGTGGACGTCCTCGGACGTTCCGCTCCTGCCTTACGGCAAATGGGTGTTCCTCTCCAGGAACGTGAGCAAACTGCTCTACTGGCTTCAGCTCCTATCGGCGACGGCCTGCGTGGTCCTATCCCTGATGAAGCTCATCGAGCACAACTACGGTGAAGTTGCGAAAGGCGACACCGACAAGCGAAACCGGAAAGCCGCCCTGACCATCTTCTACTCGCTGGCCCTGGCGGAAGCCCTGCTGTTCCTGATGGAGAAGGCCTACTGGGAGTTAAAGGTGAGCTTCTGCAAGATCCTTGAGGAGGTGACCCGGGAGTGCGAATTGGGGAAATCGGGCCTGATCGCGGTCCGGCGCTTCTTCTACGACTCCTACTCGCGGTCTGTCAACGGGAGCATCTTCGACGGGTTGGGAATGGACATGATCACATTCTCGATGGAGCTGCTTGACTCGAACTCCCCTGACGAGCAGCTCATCGGGGTGAGGATCCTCCGCCAGTTCGCGACGAACAGCCGGTTCTCCGACGACACCCTCCGCAAGATTGGGACCAACATATCCGTGATCGAGCGGCTTGTCGAGATGCTGAACTGGAAGGACCCACAGGAGGAGGAGATCAGGCAGTCATCCGCGGAGATACTGTCGCAACTCGCCGGGAAGAAGCGGAACGCACTCCGAGTCTCCGGAATCCCCGGCGCGATGGAATCGATCTCGTCGCTCCTCGAGATGAGCCGGCCCTCCACCACCTCGGCGGACGAGATCGCGGAGAAGATGATAGTCTCCTCCTCTGACGCCGCCGCTTCTGTCGGTGGCCACACGAGCTACGGATTCGACACGTTCAACCACCTTGGGCTTCTGATACTGAAGAAACTAGCCCGGGACCACGACAACTGCGGCAAGATCGGGAACACGAGGGGGCTCTTGCCGAAGATCATCGACCTCACGCATGCCGACGAGAGAATCCTGAGGGACGCGACCGCCGCGAGTTCTCAGGTCCTCACCATGAAGCGGTCGCTCCAGGTGGTGAGGATGCTGGCAAGCACGGCAGGGGCGACCGGGAAGCAGCTCCGGAGGGAGATATCGGAGATCGTGTTCGCAATCGGGAACGTCCGGGAGATCCTCCGGCACGGCGAGAGGTACCCGGAGATGCAGAGGCTTGGGATCGAGATCCTGACAAGCCTGGCGCTGGAGGAGGACACGACAGAGCGGATCGGGGGGACGGGTGGCGTGCTGAGGGAGCTGCTGAGGATCTTCCTCAGCGGCGGCGGTGGCGGGGGAGCGGCGGTGGCGGAGGACAAGGCAGGGAGGAGGGTGAGGGTGGCGGCCGGGGAGGCGGTGGCGATGCTGGTGCTGGAGAGCGAGAGCAATTGCTGGAGGGTGCTGAGGCTGGGCGTGCTGGAGAGGCTGGTGGAGGCACTGGGGGCGCCGCTGCTGCGGGTGAACGCGGCGAGGATCTTGAGGAACTTGTGCGCGTTCGGCGGCGACAGCTGCTTTGAGATGCTCCGGGGAGCCGCCGCCGCCGCGCCCACGGTGAGCGTCTCTTCTTGGTCATGGTCACTTCCATTACGGTTAAATTGCCGAATTGGATGACACGTTTAATCTAATTCAACGAAAATAGATTTGTCGCAAGTGTACTGATATTAGTTTTGGATAAATTTATTAGTTGAAAAAAATATTTTAATATATTTCTCTCACAAAGTTGTGTCCGAATTTTCAGGTTCTGGAGGCAATAATGTCCGAAGAGAACAAGCCGCAAGAGGTGATGGTCGGGCTAGCAGCCCAGGTCTTCAGATACATGACAAGCAAGGAGTCAAGCGCCGTGTTCGAGAGGGCCGGGATACGGGAGACCGAGCTGGCCGACACCCTCGTCCAGATCTTGAGGAAGTACCGGTACCCGCCGATCAAGGTACCCAGGATACGGCGGTTCGCCTTAGAGCTGGCGATTTGGATGATGACGGACAAGGAGACAAACGTGCTCACCTTCCAGGACCTCGGGATGGAGGGAGAGCTGGAGCGCGTGCTGGAGACCACGTCGGAGGTCGAGAGCTTCAACATCTTCTCCGGCACGGTCGGCGTGAGCCGGCATCACATGACCATTCACTCCTTGGTCGAGCTGGCGTTGAAGCTTTTGGCGGACGGCTGAATTCAAGTCAAGAGAGATGGAACTTTGTAAATACCTAAGCATATACACAAATGAGAGGAGATTCTTTCTTTTGTTGGCAACATGTTGATCTTGTTTTCTCTAGTGTTGACATGATTCAACGCACTGAAAATTCTTGATCTGCTCAGTATCTCAATACATTGGCTGCACTTTGCACATCAATTCCTTTGATATGACATCCTAAATTCTCCTAACGTTCATGACATTAGCAATTATCATGTTATATGCAATAAAATTTCATATCAAAGAGGCCCGCAAGTGTGGCCGAGCAGCTTCGTGTACGAGAAAGAAGATCGGGACAGGGACGAAGGGGGTAGGCCGGCTTGGCTATGGCGTCAGAGGTGTCGGGGGGCAGTGGGGTGAGCGGGTCGGAGACATTGACGGCGGGCGGCGGAGCTGTCGTGACTGAGCTGGTGTTTAGGTTTTGTGCCTTCAATTTGAATGTGGGTGGGACATGAGCATTTTTTTGGAAAAAGAAGCCAACCGTCTCAACAGGCATGCATACCAACCAAGCTCCTACGAGTTTCTTGCTTGTCATCATGTCCTATGGATTTCCGCTCTTCGCAATCTTCACAAGTTTCATCGATTTTTTTACTCAGAGAGCTTCCTGAATCCGATGATATGGATAATCGATGTACTTTGCTCCAGCATGATAAGTGGAATTCATGGATTGCACTTTGACAATCACGACGCACCAGATATACATCTTGCTTCAGACCCAACTCCTTCCTGGATCTCATACGCCATATCATCTCTTTGCAAGCTTTGGTAGATGCTATATACTCGGTTTTGGGTAGATGAGTGAACGCGCTGCTTTCTAAGCTTGGATTGGCCATGGCACGGCTGCCCCTCCAAAAGTAAACACGTAACCGGGCACGCAGTTGGCTTGGCCTATTCCCTAACCCTTTTGTAGCGGGCTTGGTGTTAGCCCGTGTCCTTCTGATACGCGACAACTCATGATTAGCACATGATCCCTTGAAGGACATGCTTAAAGACCACCAACTTTTCATTGCCCATGCTAGCTTAATCAATGGCTGCAAGAAGTCTAATTCTTGATTCAAAAGATTGGATCTGCCCTTGAATTTCAACTTTTCTTCAGCTGTACACCTCTACTCGAGTTGGTATTATTTTCTTATGTCTTTTCTTTGTTGAATGGATCTTGTGGTATAACCATATTATCTGAGCTAGTTTTTATTTCTCTAGGTCAGACTTGCGGCTGCAAGATTTTTGTCAATTCCGAGCTTCCTCAAGGTTGAGGCTTGTGCTCATCTCTTCCAACTTTCGCCGCTTGGATCGCTTGCTGTAAATATTGTAAAGCATGACTATGAGTGGCCAAACAATGCTCAACTTTGGGAATGATGCATTTGAATTATGAACTCGCGGTCTCTGATGGTGAAATGTAGTTTCTGGAAAGAGACTGGGACTTGATAAGACACGACCAAAGATATGTAGTCTTTATAAAATAACCAGGGAGTGTCAACCAATGTAAGGAAGCCGTATTCTCCGAGAACTATTGCAGATTCCATATTACAAAAATGCTGCCTCATGTACACTGGCCTATCTTTGCAAGCAGTTAAAACGAGGCCTGATCGATCAACCTTACTGGGCCAGTGTCAAGGAGCTTGTCTTCAATTATGTCACAGACATATTTCTGCGCTGGGCATTGCCGGTCTTTTCGTCTATGGTCCGGTTTGTAGTAGCTTCGTATCGCATAGCACAGTACGTCCAGGAAAAGTTCCGTATGAGCATTCCTTATGAAGGGCCCGTTTGGTTCGACTTTGGGGGAATGCATTTGGGAGAATACAAATACCTTTGGACTAAAGGGGTTTTCCGAAATGCAAGTAGTATTTGGTAAGTGTTTTTTAAAATCAACTTAGGCTAAAGGACTTTCGCTAATTTTTTTTTTTTAAAAAAGGCTCCGGTGGAGCTACACCGCCGGCCAGATCTGATCGCCGACCAACCGCCGATGGCCAGATCTGGTCTCCGGCCACCACTGCCTGGGGTCGCGCGACCCCGGTGACCGCCGCCCGCCGGAGTCGGGCTAGCCCTCAAGCGGCGGTCGCCGGCCGCCGGACCTCGGTTTAGGGAAGATGAACAGTGTCGATGAATAGTACAAGTTGCATTCCGAAAATGAACCTTCCCAAAGCCCTCTGGTGGTGCATTGGCCAAAAGTCACTTGGAGAGCATTCCAAATGCAATTTCATTTTCCCAAAATGAGTAAAAAAAATTGCCAAACACTATTTACATTTGGCCAAGGGACTTTAGAGGTCAAATGAGCATTGGGAATGCTGAACCAAACGGGGCCGAAGTAAACATTGTAATTTCTACTCCCATAATGCAGCAGAATGATCCACGGACCAGAGCATTGTGCGTTCGAGGCCTAACTGGGCAAGCTCCTGGCATTTGCTGCATTACATTTCATGCACCGTAGGCGCTCGTAAATTGGTAGGTCTCAATGGAGGTTCACAAATTCAGAAGCCTGGCAAATTCGAAAGGGCAAATATCACCCTTAATCATGGTCAATGGATCAGGTGCAATCGCAGCAATAGGATTTTATGGAATGCTTGTCGAACTCACATAATCAATCACTGCTATTAACCTGATCCACAAGGACCCAGATCTCGGCAATTGTTTGCCACTCAAAACTGATTCTTGTTCTGGAAAACCAAGTACCGTAAGTGCAGCATCATCCAGAGAAGAAACAGACTAGAATTGATCTCATAATTTCAAACATGAGCCATCATGCATCTGCACTGTAATCATTTATCTCATCTGGTTGTTGGCATTCAATGAAAATATTAGAAAGGAGGGTTAATTGTACCACACCCTGCTCGAATGTCAAGCATTGTCAAGGTGTGTGAATTCGTCCCCTAAGGAATCCAATTAATAAGCAAATACAAAGTTTCTCACTCTCTCTATCGAAAAATCACTAGTCAATTGACGGAATGCAACATCATATATGTATGTACAACACTTTCTTCCCCACCTTTTTTCTTGTTCCTTTTTCCTTTTCTATGAATCTTTACAACCCTACATTCTCTGATATATGGTAGTTACAAAACAATGCCAACAATCAAGAGGACGTGCACAAACCCAATCAAAAAACATTAAAAAAAAAAGGTTTGACTCACTTCACCTATTGTTCCTGAAGAGGCCGAAGTCCCAACGACGCATCAAACCATCCATTATGTTGCTGGAAGGATTCCGTACAACAGTCAGAGTAGCTCTCGTGTTGCCCGACATATCTGTATCTAAGGGACTCTGGATGCTTGTTGGACCTTCAGTACCAACAGAAGAAGCTTTCTCGACGCCTAATTCTGTCACTTGTTGAGCATTTTCGAGCGGACTTTTAGACAATGAATTTGTATCAGATTGAGTTGCAGCGGGTGGGTTGTCACATGACGGACTGCTCGATGGTGTATTTGCATCACGAAATGCGTCAAAAGTCTGATTTTGACCATTGATTTCTGACGCAGAGGTGGAAATGGAATCAGTTTTTGAAGCCTCAGACAGCTCCGTAGAGGAAGAAGTGGCCTGACCATCTTTCTGTGAAGACCCAAAAGATTCAGTGCTCGTGTCGGGCAGAGGATCATTTTCACTGTAATGTCTCATCTCCAGGTCCTTTAATGACATCATGACAGCTTCCATCAACATCTGAATATCCAATATATGTGGTCAGTAAATCTAATTCTGAAGTTGGAAATAACGCGAGAGAACATGTTAAGACACCTTTTCTTCCTCTTCCACAGTGCATGGAAAGCCTGTCGGGTCATCAAGCTGGTATTCCACATATTCGTCATCTTCTAATGTTGCCGGAACATGAGGACCATAGGGATGACCATTGGACAGCTCAAAATTGATCATTTTGGAAGACGAGGAACGAGGATCCTCCTCAGCCTTTGCATCCTACAGCAAAATATTACTTCGTGTGAAGATGACCAGTAGTTTTGTACATAGAACCTAATAAATCTTTTTTGTCGTACAATTATTTCTTCTCTCTCGTAGAACTATTTTCCATTGACTGGTCCTTGGATTATTACTGAAGGATTAGAATAGCAGGTTGCCCGTATAATTGACTCGGGATGCATAAGCTTTTGAGATGGAAACAACAAAAGGCAACAACATACCTCTGTCATAGACTGGTGGTCCGCTTCTGGGATATCGGAAGGAACCTGAGCACAAAAAAGGAAGATAAGGCAAAGCACAGATACTGATATTAACTCATGCTACAAATACAATCAAACTTTCGAGACTTATGCAACCTTAGAAGCAAATGTCCCGGTCCAACTGGATAGTTGATACAGTTATCTGGATCAGGATCAGGATTTATTACAGGTCGAAACACGCAGATGGATATGCAGTGAGCTACTTGTCCTGAAAAATATGGGTACGGTTGGTCGGTTGGCTGCTATGGTCGTGTTACTCTTTTAAGTACTTGTTTGAGGTCATTCACTATGTAATATATGAATGTACTCGTTTGTTTTTGGTTTGAAATTGCAAAGCAAAGTCCGATATGGAAAACTTTGAATTCCAAGTTAATTTCTATTGTAAATATTCTATGATCTTCAAGAGAGATTGTTCAAAGGCTACATTTTTACTTGATGGCTTAATGAAAGTGTACATAAGATGGCTCTATTTATAGAGCCTTAGAGACACCCAAAAACCCTAATTACCTTAATTAAAACTCACCTACTAACTACTGACTATCACTACTAAAGTTACTTCAACACTCCCCCCCAAGCTTGAACATTTAGCTTGCAACTGGATACAATTTTCTTCGACAGTTTATGACTCAAGTGCCATGTAAGCCGAACCTGACACTATATAATGAATATAGATACATCAAACCCGATTTGACATCATGACGATTGTGTAAGCTAGACCTTACGCGACAAATTGAATGTAATCCACATCAACACTGGATTTGATTATAGCGCTGAAGTGACAAATTGAATTGGAAAGTTGACACCTTCTCTTCCTCAAACAACAAGGATAAAATCGTGTGAGAACCTGACTTCAAGAATTGTGGCAAATTGAATTGCATCAACCCACGGCGCTAGACTCTAGCAGCTCGACAAAGGTGTGCTGAACTATGGCGCT